GAGTCATCCCCGAATTCCCAATCAAAACTCGAGTAAGAAATTAAAAAGTAAAAAAAAAAATAATATTATCATAATAATTTAAAAACTATTTAAAATATATATTTAAGGTTTTTGAATTTTAAATCAAGCTTGGTTGGGAATTCGGGTATGACTCTAGGCAAAAGTTGTTGTTATCATTATTTTGCACAACATACGTTTTTTTCAGATTTTTTTAATTTATATTTCTTATTATTATTTTTTTTTTACTTACGCGTACGCGCGATTTCGGGTTTGTACGAGTACGCTGGAGTACGTACGCGTAAACACTGCGTACACGTACGGGGTGCTACCCAGAAATAACTTTAAAAAATACGAGTTTGTTCGAGAAAATATTCAATAGTCAATATTTTTTTACAAAACTTACACATATGATGTCAAATAGTAATTATATGTATATATATATACATATATATATACAGGGTCACCAACCCGTACGTACGGAAGTCCCTGGGCCGACCTTTGTACGTACGGCCCTTCAGGGTCCCATTCGGTGTCCGAACCCGATGACATTTGATCGTTGTTAAAAATTATTTTATAGCCTAAAAATAAGTTTTTTTTTTCAGATTTTGTTTTTATGAGTTTTATATGATGTGAGGTACGTGGCTATAAATTTGAAGTCATTTTGCTGAGCCAAAAAAAAGAAAAAATTGCCAAAAATGGCGGTGTCAAAACGTGCTCACCCACTCATTTTTTTTAATTTTTTTTTACTTTTTACTTTTTGTTTTCACTTTATCGTATGACCTAAATAATTAGATTATTTTTTGAAACATTTTTAATGAGTTTTATATTATGAGATGTACACGTTTGTAAATTTTCAGGGCATTTGGCTATGTTAAAAAAAAAAAAATCGCCAAAGATGGCGGTGTTGAAAATGTGTTCACTCACTTACTATTTTTTTTTTTTTTTTAATTTTTATTTAAATTATTTTTTATATTTTATTTTTATTTCAAATCTGGTGAGGACTTTATATATAATACTCAGGTGAACGTTGTTTATTTTATTTATCGTCATAATATTTTTGCTTTTATATTTTTTTGATTTTATTTATTTATTTTGTCCGCGTTCGATCCGAACGGCCGAACGCATTCGCAATGGATCATGAATGTTCGAGCTTTCGACCATCCTGAACGTTGGTTTCCTTGTCTATATATATATATATAATATGGAAATATATATATATATATAATCATATATATTATACAACTTCATAACTAAAAAAATAAAACGTAAAATTAATCTTTTCTAATAAATTTTAAAATGTTATCTAAACATTGTTAAATACTTCAAAATTTTATAAAACATGATGTGAAAGTTTAATAATTAATGTAAGCAAAGTTTCAAATAGTAATATTGTTAAAAAAATCAAGCCTACAAGTTTTTGCAAATTATTACGTACATAATAAAACTGACTTGAAATACAAGTTTATTTAACACTTTGAAATTAAAAGGATCGATAACACAATCATCACATTGGTAGAAAACATATGATATAAATAAATAAATACACTCATGTATATTGCCAAATATATGTATGTACATGGTAGTCGGCGTTCGCCTCCTTCTGAAGACGCGTTCGAATGCCCTGAAAATTTTGTTTTTTTTTTGTGCTTAGCAAAATGTCATAAAAATATACAGATGTGCATTTCATATGATTTAAAAATTAAAAAAAATATATATATATAGGATTTTTTTTTAAGCCCCGAAATAAAGTGAAAAAAAAAAGTGAAAAAAAAACTAGGTTGCTAGTTGGGCCGCCCGGGTCACCCTATTTTCCTGGGCATTTCGGCCATGCAAGGAAAGCAAAAAAAAAAAAGGAAAAAAAACTTTGTTATGTAGAAAAATAAATTGAACAACTTTTGCTTCACGACCACATTGAAATTATTTACCAATTTAAAATTACATTATTTTTATTTTTTTATTTTATTTAATTTTTTCTTGACCCAGCCGGGCAAGTGGTCCTAAGTCACTCTAGTAGCCTAAAAAAAAACAACATAGTGAGTGAGCGAGCACGTTTTGACACCGTCATCTTTGACGATTTTTCATTTTGTTTGATTGAGCAAAATACCTTTAAAATTTTGTCATGTACCTCCGATCATAAAAAACTTAGGAAAAAAAAACAATAATATTTAGGGCCCGAAATAAATTTTGACGGGGGCCGAATTCTTTTGGGTTCAGACCCCGAACAAGGCCTTGAAGGCTCAAATGTTTAAGGGTGAGTCCGAGGGCCTCCGAACGTTCGGCCTGGTAACCATTGATACATTAACTGTGGACCACAAGTTACGTGATTGATTGACAAATTGATTGATCATTAATTGACTATTTTATAATAAAAAAAACAAAGGAAAACAAACTCCACACGTCAGTGTGTGTGAGAGTTTTTTCTTCTCTCCCTCTCCCCCTCTCCTCTTCTTTCTCCCTTTCTCTATCTCCCTCTCCCTCTCCTTCGCTTATCCTCTCTCTCTTGCGCTCAAACGCTCCCCCTCTCCCTTTCTTCCCCCAGTTTTTCTCACACACTCTCCCTTCATCTGTTTTCCTCCCCCAATCTTTCTTTGTGTAAAAATAAATAAATAAAAATATATACAGATAGAGATGGATAGATAGATAGATAGATAGATAGATAGATACATATATATATATATATAGAAAAAAAAAAAAAGAGAGAGAGAGAGAGAGAGAGAGAGAGAGAGAGAGA